CTATAGAGAAATTGAGTACCTGTACTGTATTGGAAGACATCTGGATTTCTTAGTACAGTACCTTGTGCCAGATACCAATTTAAATTAGAGTTCAATATACCTGTACCTAATTTTTTAGTAGTTTGTTCAGCTCAAGTAAGTCTTCAGAACAGACTTGCCAATTAAGAAATCTTTAAAAGTATCATATCCACACTGCCTGACAACTGTATATAACTGATCCACTTATTTAGCTCCTCATCTTTGGCATCCTAAGCAACCATTACAATTTATGGAAGTTTAATGGCTCCTGGTTGCTAAGCAACCAATAATGGGCAATGGGCATTGCCAATTCCCTTACACAATCATAACTGGGTATAAATTGATCAAATCACTACTCAGACCCACACAGAGAATCATGACTGAATACAGCATTACAGGCAACTGTATTATAAAAAAAATAAAACTTGTTTCATTCTTTCAGTATTCCTGAACACCCCTATACTGTTACAGCATCAACAGTTTTGACAATACTGTACTGTAATTATATTTGTTTCCTACACTGATGTGAGTTAAGGCTTGATGATCGGCATTATCAGTTTGCTACAAATCAGCATCATTTCTACAAGGTACATGAAAATTTTGGCAGTGTCCTCTTTACCTGAAGTCAATATAAATTTAACACTACTGTACTGTATTAATATTCTGGGGATCCTTAATCAAACTACAGTACTGTATAGGGATAAACCAGATACCCGAAGTAGGTAGGATAAGCACTCATAAGCAGTGTATTCAGGTGCTTATTCCTTTCTTCCCAGAAGGTAAGGGGATCTGTCCTATTACAAAAACAATTTGACTCATTTTGAAAATTGATCTGCATTAAAAGGCAGAGACATGTTAAAAAAATACAATACTGTACCTGTGCCGCACTGTACTCATCTCCACTAACAGCCTTTTCAGTAATGAATGCAAGAATGAGAATACCAGAGGATCAGAACAGTATTATTTTAATATGGATATGGTTTTCAAAGTTGACATTGATATTACATTATTTTGAATCTTCCTAAACAACTAACCCCCTACTTGTTGATGGAAGTCTGGCAGCTTCCCTTAACCCCTTGTGTACAGTATGGGGTCCCCTCTATACTGAATAAAATTATCTGGTGTTTGCCAAGGGGACATAGAAGAAGTTTAAAGTTAATATGATACTCGGTTTCATACCTATTTACCAAGAACAAAAATTCAAGTGTACAACTGAAATTTTTTACACATTCAGGGGTTTGAATCTGCTAGCTTAGGAGTTTTCAGTGTTTTCTGATGAATCTGGCAGTGTTAAGGAGTGGTGTAGTATGCTCATGATGATACTGTATACTGTCCACATTACTTAAAAACACTGCATGAGCAAGAGACACAAGTATGGTTGGCTTCCTTCATTTTATGAATCTAACTTACATCAAATTATTTGTATACAAAAAAGTCTTGGCTGTTATTCAATCCAAGGATACGATCAAGCACATTATGGGTCAGTAAATACAGTTAATGATCAAGTCCCAATCCAACTCCGAGGAAGATTTTCTTCTCTCAGATACAAAAGCAAATAATAATATGCATTTCCAATCCAACTTTACTGTGAGATTCTCTAGTGAATTAGCACACTTGACAAATGGATATTTTCCATCCTGATTCGGATGAACCTTTCTATCAGTACTTAAATATGAAATCTTCCATGACAGGAGCTGATACCCTGTACAGCACTTGCATGTGATATTGTTCTACTACCCCTAAAAGCCTCTGTTGAAACTGCAACTCTACCTTGCACACCACAAACCACCTAATAATAGTGAACAGTGGAAGTCACTGGCTTCCTGGAAGCTGCTGGATTGGTGTGGAACTGAAGTGGGCAACATAACAACAACTGCTCCTCACCTCCACTTAACAGGAATTCAGCATACATATACAGTACATGCAGTTATCAAATATCTATACAATACTCCTGTAACTCTCCAGTGTATCAGTGTACCAGTCCATGAAATATTTGGTTTCTGTGCATTTACTCGATTTTTTTTATATTCCTTTAAGAAATTTGAAGGATGTTACTCGTATGGAACCACGATCCTACACTCTTACAGTTCCAGGGTTAGAGGTGTGTTATGTTTCAATTGGAAGAGCTGTTTTATTGTCATCAGAAGAACATGCTACATTTTTTTACGTATTTTCTGTGGCTTAAAATATTGTCTTGGTGGAGAAAGTTGATGACAGGAATGAGGAAAAATCTGTATCAGGTACAGCAGTGTTAAATCTGATAGTAAATATAACTAGACTGCTCTTCAATGAGGAGCCAACTGGTTGGTTCCCTTTCCAAAGCTGTGACACTGACTTTAATATTTTCTTCCTAAAAAATGTTGTCATGGTGAATACATGCTAAATATAGGCATAATCATTCTTCCTATCCTTGAGTTCTGCTGAGGAAACAGTAACAAACATTGATAGATACAAATGACACTGGCTGCCCTTCTTACACCACCCCATCAGCATAAGTAACAAAGTATACAACACAAGTGTGGGGTATATTATGTACAGTATGGTAGAATAACTGAGGATACAGATCAAAGGTGGACAATACTAAACTCAAATATATCAATCAATATTTTGAAAAGATTTATTTCATATTAGTCTTTTCTGATAATTCAATAATTTATCAGGTTTTCTTTCCTTTATTTACTGTTCATCTCACTGTCTGACAACTGAGATAAGGTGCTGACAATTTTGTAGATCGCAATAAATTAGTATAAAATTTGTCATGTATTATATGAAATTTTGATAAGAAAACCCCATTAACAAAAGCAAGAGTTCTGTAGAATGTACAGTAGCCAAGACAACTATCTGTGCAGGTGGGGGTCGATATACTCCAAAATTTTACGTGTGACTAGTGACAGCCCTCATATACTGTACCAAAATTTCCCGTCCATGGTCTCATATTGTTTCCCACAAAGTATGCACAGATAGTTGTTTTAGCTACTGTACCTGTCTGTTACTTAAGTCTATTTGGGACATAGGAAGGGGTAAATTTTTTCATGTGGAGGTATATTTGGTACACTGTTACTGTAGGTGCATCCAGTTATGACTGATGCATTCATTACAGAAAAAAACTATAAAATGCCTTGGCCACAAAATTATAGTACTGTACTGTACAGGTACATCATAAAAAATATTTGTGCTTTACTATTAAAAAGATTGTCAGCATTCTCACCTCCCTGGTCCAAACCTGATGCATTTCTGAAAAATAGTCTGATGTAAAGTTTCTGATTTACAAATTGTGAATTCAATATTTGTAGCAACACAATATAAGTGAACTACATTATCTTTCAATAATCTTATAAGATTTCAATGATAATCACAAACTCAAATTCTTTAGTAATCTTAATTAAATTTTTGTGTTTCATTCAGGCTGTGTTTCAAAACACTCAGGTCTGTTTTGACAAATCGCTTAGATCCGCTTTTAAAATCTTTAGAAAGGATGAATGTAAATGAGGGACCATTTATACCAAGTTGTTTTATGAAAAGAAAATATGAACCATGATGTAAGTCTTTTGTCTCACACCATGTATGCCATGAGAGTCTGGAAAGAGAAGTTCATTTCCTCTTGATAATGATCATCTACTCTTACACTGTACAATAAAAGTTTCCTACTCTACACACCATTAGCCCAGATCCTGATTATCAAGACCTCACACACTCAGTTGTACAAAATATTCTTAACATGCAAAGCATTTGATATAAGAAACAAATACAAACATATCCTGTAGATGGAGGAAGAATTAAGTTCAGTTATTCCTGGCTAATATCAAAGTAGGTGTCATAGTGCACTAATCTATCAAGCCATGTAGTACCCAGTTCAAACCTACACCGCTAGTTTATGGTAAGGAATTGACCCATTGATTAAGTTCTCTCCATTTTCTCCTTCACAACCACTATAGTTCAACTACTGAGTGAGTCACTACCACTTTGGTAAATTCAACACAGATTTTATTTCTGATATAATTTAATTGTACACACTACGGAGAAAAATGGTCCTGAATTTGTTGAGGAGACAGAACAGCTCCATCAGTAACTAGATCTACCAACGAACTGCTGTGAACTGTAATGGTTGTTTAGGATATAAGTGGGTGGAGCTTAATTACTAGATCAATTACAAAAGAACCTGACCCTGTATAGATATGTAGATACCTATTATACACAGGTATGTGCATAATTTTGCACTTATTTTTCATCCCCTTTTATTTTTTGTATAAATGTAAGTTGTATAAATGCTAACTATTAATCACAGTTAATTATTACTACACTATTTTCAATGTCAGTTAAATATAAAAATATATTTAGAAACATTTTCATATACACAGGAGATAACTACCCATATTTATAACAAGATAAAGCTTGCACTGGAAGTTGGGACAACAATTACATCAATGAGTTACAGAGTCCAATGATACACCTTGTACACTTTCTCTGATTAAGTCGAGATAAAACATATGACACTCACTTGTTACCATCATCTAAATTCAAAATTTACTTTGACAATGGTGAAAACATCATCTGCACAACATACAAACACCTATTTCATATTGAGAAGTACCATGGAACAGTCTCAATGTGCAGTGATTACCCTTCATAAGAACATTACACATTAGCTGCTCCACAACCACCTTGTTACAGCTGCACCTTTTCAAAAGATTTTTTATATGTCTTTCCTCATCATCACCAATCATATTAGTTTCTTCTTACTAGATTTCTTAATTTTACAAGCCTTCAACAACTGACTTGAGTCAGAAATGTTTCTACCTTTGGTGTGTGTGTATATATATACGGTACATACAGTATACTATACTGTGTATGTATATATATATATATATATATATATATATATATATATATATATATATATATATATATATATATATATATATATATATATATATATATATATATATATATATATATATATATATATATATATATATCAAGAGGGTAGTTTATAACAAGGTACAGTACTGTACTATGATATCCCAAGTCCTGGTAAGAATCCTTTGGTTATGCCTACGTTCACACAATTTCCTATTGTAAACAATGCTTGGTTTAGGCACCTATTTTGCTTCCACACTTCGTATGCGAACAGGTGAGTTGTTTTTAGGTTACCTGACACAAGAGGTAGTGGGTGCTGATGGAAGTCTTATCACTTTCCTTCATTAAATAAAGGAATATAGGCACTATCCTCACATGAGAAAGGTTTCAAAGTTATGATGAGTGTTAATAGTAGTAGTCATTCCTTACATCCTAATGCTCTGCCATCACTGGTAAAAATATAAAACTCAAAACTGAATTCTCTTGAGCATCCGAATATCTTTATCAAGGGTACACTACAAAACAAAATACAAAGAATTCACTGCAGTTTTTAAGAGATCAAAATGAAAGTGCCTACCTCTCCCCACTTTAAATTTTGCACTTAAAAACTTAGATTGAGAGATCAGAGACGAGAGTAAAAGAGAAGATATGGGGTAATAATGGTAGTTCGCATCATGTCACTAACTTCGGAGGCGCTCACCAATTTTATCTTGTCATCATCACACTCCAGCCACATACTCTCTTGTTCATCCATGTTCCTACTTTCTTCACTGTCTGCAAATTTCAGAAGATAAAAAGTAATAAACTATACAAAAATAATAATACAAAGGCAACACGAGCACTCATAATGCCAATCCTAAAATTGCTCTTGACCAAATTTCTGAAAAATGGGTTTGGTCAGTGAACCAGTGCAAAAGAAACTTTGTCCATTGAACTAAAAGTAATAATTTATTTAAAATATTAATTTTTTCATAAATACTTTGTCACTAAAGGTGAGAAAGTCGTCAGCCATGCCATGGCAAAGTCCATGGAGCCATAATTGAAAAATGATAACTAAATGCTAGTTACTGAATTCATCTAAGATCTTATTGTAATAGATTCATATACCTACTGTGGTTAAAATCCATATCTGTTCAAGTTATTATGTTCATAACATCCAGAGATGACAAGTGTGCATTCCTGTCCTCTTACCTAACCAGAGAACTGCCATTGGTTAATGGACCCTCCCTCCCTCACTGCTCAATGTGCAACAAACAGAGACTGAACAGAGACCACCAGGCAGACAGCTGCTAATACCTCATACAAGTTGCCACATAATATAATGGATTAAAATTTTCATGAATTTTTATTATACTTTTGTTAAACTATACTGTATACCAAAGTAAATGCACGTCCCAATATCTATCTGTCCACTCAGAGTGTGGACAGATACTTTTTAAGATACTGTACAGTACTCTCTTAGACAAGTAAAGTAGAAAACAATTGATGACAACAAACTCAGTAATATGGTTAAAGATACAATTCTTCTCAACTGTGAAGAGGATTTTTTATACAACAGATATCTTAATGGATATAAATGTGCAATGTTAAAATATACACTCACCAATGTGACCATTTAAAACTGAATGAGGACGGATATGAGATAACTGTAGACCACAGCACTTCATCCACTGACAGTCCACCACCTTGCTAGTGTTAGGTGGTTGTGGCTGTGTCTGGTTCTGTACTTGCTGCTCCGGGCATGCTGATGAGTGCAGGGCACTAAGGCGAACAAATGACAAATAGTGCCCTGGAGTCGATGAAAAACATACATTATGCACAAATGATTATCACATACAATGTATACTGTATTACAATGACTAAAACACTGAGACAGCATCCCTGACAACTACAATGTTATAGTTATTTTTACCCAAAGATTGATTGCAACTTAACCCCAAAAAATTCTAATGTAAAAACTGTTCACAAATTACCATTCAATAATATAGAGAACTGGCAATCAATTAATAAAACTTTTGTGAACAATGATAAACTATTGTTAGCAATGGTACTAGAGGCTGATCACAGGTATATTCCTCCACAAACATTTCAGCCCCTGGACCATCTCTAACACCTTAAAAAATTATGCACTGTACAAACAATTTTAAACAATTCTACAATCAGCTTAGACAATCATCTTAATGACTGCCACTCAGTTAAACAATATTGAATATGTTTGGCTCTTTCATTCTCAAGCAAGTTACTGCACCTTGCTTTGAACTATGACAAAGTGTCTTTAAGATTTATAACAAAATAGTAAGAGTTGAAGTAAATAATCTCACCAGATGACAGAGTAGCTCCCAGGTGACAAACAACAGCTGTAAGATGGTAAGGAAGGTGTGGAGTCGTGTCAGGTTTACTACTTGAGCTTGACTTAGGTCCCTTGTCCCTTCCTACTTCAGCCAGTGACTGCTTCCGAATCTGTTCTGTGAGACAACCCCGACAGAAGCAGGACAGTTCTAGAGGCGCTGGCATGGCTTCGCTACACTTGGCAGTGAACATATTTCTGAAAATGCAAATTATTATTTTTTATCATGAAATTTTATGGGGTAGAAACTGATCCTCAGCCAACACAATGTTATTTACATTATAAATCTTGTGAACAGATGGAAACTCATTATCCATTCTCAACACATACATTCATGCATGCACAGCTGCACACACAGGGCATATATGACCAAGTGACACAAACACACATTCAATATTTTCTCCTCTCCTCTCTGAACCTTGGATAATTTGCCTACTCTTGGCAGATTTATAATATAGTTTTAACAGTCAGTAAATCACAATAATTCATGTAGAAGAATCATCCATAAATAAGTTGAATACTCTGGTTTCTGATCAAAAGAAACTATTCCATAACCAGACATACCTATGATATGAGCTGAACCTTTTGACGTGAATGACGAGGTGATGCGGCAGCTGGGAGTAGTGGACGGAGCGGCGCGCCTCGTTGTGATGGAAGCAGTGGTCACACCAATACTTATTGTTGTCTCGTAAGCATTCTTCCTCACACAGGGCAGACATAAACACTTGTGGTTCACTCACATTCTCATCCTCTGTTGGATTAGAAATATCATTTAAAAATGTGTTATACCAACAGTGAATTTTGGGTTGTGTGAAGAAATATAGATAAACCAGACAGACACTTTAAGGTCTTGTTCAGAAAGCAAACACCATAAGAGAACTGATCTATTACAGCAGCAAGAGGGAAGAGTGTGTATTGGCTCTTGATTTCAGCAACAATGTTTTACAATATTGAAGAAAAAACTTCCATCCATGAAACAATAATAATCAATATTAAAATGATAAATATCCTGTATCATGGTTAAGAATTTGAGTACAGTACAGTATTAAGAATATTATCTGTACTAATCACCACTAAGGTAATTATAAGCCTATTATATTGTACAGTACTTGTATACTGTGTTGTTAAAATTTATATTACGGGTGAACTAACCATCAAAATCAGCTTTAGTTTTAACCGGAACACAAACTTCTAAAAAGTTCTCCTCACGACCAGTAACTTGCTCACACTCCGAGCAGCAAGTTTCTAGGCACATGCGGCCAACAAATTTAGAACCAACAACATCAACGGCCTGAAAGAAAACAAACTGATTATACTCTACTCCAACATTTACTACATATCAGCAATGTATTAATACAAAATAATTTCAAAAACTTGTACAAAAATAGCCAGGGTTAGTTTACAGTAGTCGTATTGTTTATCTATCAGCTTAACTCCTTTGATTGTCTTGTGTGAGGAAGATCAAAGGATAGAGACCCTCAGAGTGGGAAATAATAGTCACTATGATGAAAGACAAATACTGAAGATGATAGCATAATACTAAGACAAATAGAAACTTCCATTCATACTTGTCCCTAGCATCAGCACTTGAACTAAATCAAGAAATTTTTGTAAGACAAAACATTTGGAGAAGTTATGAACAGTGAGTCAAAGATTAGAGGTATGAAATGGAAGCCCCCCTGCCACAAAAGATCCACACAGGTACACTCTTACCAAACACTTCTTCAACGCTATAAGCATTATGGAATCTGAAAAATGAACAAAGAATCTGAAACCATTCCGAGATGACAAGCCCCATTCTGCTCATTCTCACATCCATCGTGTCCAGGTGTTGGAGAAGTTTTGTTGAGACTGTACATTTACAAGCAATGCAAGTTCTGAAGACCCACAATATTCTATGATACATGTTACAAACTCACCTTGCTGGAATCTTCTTCAATAGCCTGTATTCTCTCTGATCTCCTACGCAATCTTTTGGGTTCAGGAGGACTGAGGTCAACTTCCTGTTCCATTCCTGTTAATTCTGTGCCAAGTGTGCCATTAGGCTTGCCCTGCCGCAGATCTTGTGGCAGATGGCACAGTTGGTCCAAGAGGCAGTGAAGTAGTTCATGAGCATCTTGTTGACGATTACCCTCAAACATTGGATTAACAACTCTGAAATGATGAACAAATATGAATTTTTGAAATCCACAGTTATTTAGAATGTAAATACTTTCTAATCATAATTGTATGATAATATAAACCAGCACCAACACTTAACATATAACACTCTGTTAATTTTCTAACTATGAACCCACAAACATAAACAAGGGAAGAAATACAACAAAATGGATGACTGATACTGTAGTTTATTACCACTGAAGAATGAAGTTCAGACTATAGAAAATGGTGTACTTGTATTACATAATTATCTTTATCTGTTATTTTGACCCAAAGCTACTTTTATGTTGGGTGGAGAAAGGTGCACAGGAATCTCTAAGCAGGGAGGAAATAATAATCAGTGATGCAGGACATTCACAGAAAGCCACAGTGAAGCACCAAGAAACATCTACACATATTTATTTTAATCCTCAACTTGCATTTACAGCACAGGTATACAAAAATGAATCTTAGCACCCACAGTTATTCACAAAAACCATATCAATTCACTGTGCATACATTCATTTCACAAAAGAATGAAAGAATAAAACGCACTGCAGTAACACAGAAGATAAAGACAAACAAGGCAAAACTGACACGAACCACACCACCAAAGCTTTAATAACAATAATTATATTTTCATTAGTACCTCAGAGCCTCTAAAAACTCGTAAGGCTGAAAAGCAGGTATTCTTTTGTTGTCTGCACTAGACCTCTCCTCCTGGCCAAGGCTGACAAATACACGATGCAGCTCAGACAAAAACTGAATGCGCTGTTCCAGGTTACCATCACTCTGGTCCCTAGAGAGAGAGTAGTTAAAGTAATATTGAAGTAGTAAGTCAGAATAAACCATAAATGTAATGTTCAAATGATGCATTAACTAAAACCTCAAATTTAAAACAATGTATGATTAAGACAATATAGTACGCCCGAATAATTCGCGGATTTTTATTTTGCGGTCCTCTATTATTCACGGATGACACCCTGAATGTACCCAAGAATGTCTGTGGGTAGTTTTAAAGTGGCCGGCATTTTCGCAGCTAGGACAGGGAGCCATTTGTTCTAGAGACAGTAATTTCTTTTCCCTGTATTGTATATATACAATATGTGTGTGTGTAGACACACACAAAACACATATATATATATATATACAATACAGGTACTAAATGAAATAATTGTTCTAAGGGCAAACACATAAAGGGAATATACATTTCTTTGTACACAAGTAAAAATGTACCCTCCCCACACTGGTCAGCAAATGTTATTCGCAGATTTGGCGATTCATGGCCATTTTGAGAACCTAACCCCCGTGAATTTGAAGGGCATGCTGTACTGCATATTATATGGACTAAAAGCTAAAATTAATTAAATTATCAACACAGTCCTACTATGCTGAAAGGCTGATGGGAATACACAATTCTGTCACACTTATTCAACCTACACAAAAGAATAAACTGTAAAAATAATTAGTTTATACCTTTCCCTGGTCATTCTACCCCCAGTTTAACCATTAACTTCTACATCATCATCCCCCTCATATGACAAAAGTATCTCAATTTCCTTTATTCTGTAAATTTTCATTTTTTGGAGGGTCATTTCTTCAGTCAGTGGCAGGTAATACCATATGCAGTATCAAGCAGCTAGTGTTGCTATAATTCAATTTATCATTTCACCACTTATCAGCTTACCAGCCATTCAGGTGGTTGGTCAGCTCATTGTTACTTTGTTAGGATATATTTTGTTTAGCGTCATTACAGGAGGACACCAGAGTACCCGGAGGATACCTTTAATGTTTGGTAGGGTCACAATGGATAACATCCTTCCCACGTGTGTCCCAGGCCAGGACTCAAACCCAGAAGTAGGGGAGAGAGATACATGCTTTCCAGTACGTTTGCGGCTCTTTAATATTTTATGACGTCTTGGACTTTTGTCATGTCTCAGGTTTTTGTCCATTTACAAAATAATTAAGATGTCATCAAGGATTACAGAATCCTGAATAAATGAAGTCCTGTATCACCACCAGGCTGCCTGATTTAGTAACTAATAATTGGCTAGAATAATGGAAAACACTATAAATTTTTAAAATAAGAAAACTGAATGGAGAAGAGGACTGGATACCCCCATTGTACACTTGCTACAAAAAGTATCTGCATTTTTTTACAAGACAATACGACACAACAGACAAAGGATTTTGACAACCCAACCGAGACAACAGGAGTCTTAATGTTCATTTTGACATCCATCATACCCCACCTTGCAGATACTTTCTGTAGCAAGTGTACAATCAGCAAGAAATGAGTACAACACTACAGAATGCACTTGCTGATGGTGGAACAACTGTTGGGTGATGTAGCATCTTGTCAAAGGGCTGTGCTAGGGCAACTCATAAAGTGCTGAATGTTAAGCATCAGGTTAAAGCCCAGCCACCCTGCACCTTAACAGGAGGAGGATTGTATAATTGAAAAAAAAAGTAGATAAAAATTAAAAGGTAAACTACTTACCCAGCAGACTGTAAATGCATATGGAGGTGATGGAGGTCATGGGTGAACCCCGGCAGGAACCTAAGAGCATACAGCACTGAGTTCAGGAAGCAGGTGTTACCCATGTTAGCCAGAGGACACACCCCAACCACTCGACCACCACCATATCCCCCATCTCCAACCCCACTACTTGAACCACCTGTTGACTGGGCAGAACCTCCTGCCGTACGTCTCCCGCTGCTGGTGGTTGCATTTCTCCCAAGACTCATCTTTCGTAACATGGGTGGTGTCTGTCAACAGGAGGAAATCTCTGAATAAAAAAACAATATGATAACTTCTGATTAATCTATTAGTTAACAAAACCAGATTAATTCTACATTGTCTTATTTCTCATGTGGGGTATATTTAGAGGCATTTTCAGCTGTATCTGCACATTTCCTCACTGCAAGAAAGTAAATTTATCCCATAATCCTAGCCCATTCAATCCTTCATACCTGAGGCTCCTCATTTTACTTCTACTTGCAAGCACCACTGTGAAGCTTGTGAGCTGCCGTTAGGTAACAACACCTAACCTACGCAGGCATGGTTCACCTCTGTGATTTCATATATACGTACATATCAATATGATTTACCTTGAAGATATTTACATCAAAATGCCACTAAAGTGTAAATGTTACATTATTACAATATACAATACTGTACAGTACTATTAAAGAAGCAAAGGAAAGTTTAAGAAATTCTCTGGAGTAAAATCTATGAGGCTCACTTTATTCCTGTCGTCAGAGTCACTGGTGCTGGAGGTACGAAAACGGTGACTGGTGCGAGGTTCAGGAGCTGGAGATATGTCTGAATTGAGAGAGCGTTTACGACTCTGCCGCAGTGAGAGACGAGACTTTCCTCCTTCTTGTACTGAGCCTTCACCCATGTTATCCAAAGCAGTCATGGCTACTGAAAACATCCAGACATCAGTAATAATACTCCACAGGAAACATATCTTTTACATTTCAACATTATGCCCAACATTGGAGGGGGGGCGGGGGCGGCGGCGGACGAGCCCTAGGTGTTCTTTTTACCAGTTATAATTTTTGCTTTGATCATTAAGCACTGCATTGTAAATAAGCATAAATATTGTCACAACTTATTTTCATTAATGTACAGCAAGTATATTTGACCTATTGATTTTAATAACCAAAATAAGTTTAAGGTCTGAGACAATATAATAATCTGTGGGGAAACTAGACACCCAGTTCATTGGTACAGTTTCATTCACTGGAAATACTGAACTGAGGTAGAAAAACGTGAAAACTTTGGTCTAAAAATCTTTACAAGAGTGAAAGTTTACACACACACACACCTATACAGTAAGTACTCCATGTGCATCTCAATAATGAACATACAATATCAATTCTAAGTGATTTGTATATAGTACTGTACTGTGCTATACAAACTAGGAGGTTTTCATATATACATATCTTTTTGCCTATGTTTGTATACATATTTACACAGACATAGATGTGTGTACTACTGTATACAGTACTGTATAGGCTTGTGTCTGACATTTGACCATTTGCTCTTATGTCTGTGGTTTCCTGGCGCAACTAAAGGTAGAGACACTTAGGTAACATGTTGTGTGATGAAGATGTTTTATCCCTCAAGGGATTGATGGTGCAAGACTGAACAACAATAAGCAAGCTGCTACACACCAGAAGTACATCCCACAAGCACTACCCAGCTCTTTTCTGTACAGGGACAATAACAAATGATACAATCTAAAACCTATTTCAAAGACAATCATAAGGATTTACAACTGCCTGTATTCCTATCAACAATGCCCATATCTGTTCATAAACTAAACAAGTCCTCCCAGGCATTCCCTCATCAAAATACTGACCTAAAGTAAAGGAATGTAAATACAGTACTGTACAGTATTATTGATTCCTCACCAGTTCCATAGTGAGGGGGCGTTATGTGCAAATTTAATAATAGATTTGGGTAAAAAGAATTATATCTATCTGTCCATTATCTTTACTACTTTCCTAATTTTGTGCAGGGTGAATAAAGGAGTAGAGACGTCTCCGAGATGTGAAGAATTAATAGAGTGAGTGGTGCAAGACATATATTGAAAAAACCAGTACAAAATATCCTCACAGACTGTACTGTACTTGGTCAAATCCTCAACTTGAATACGTAGTACACTGAGAGAATCCTGGTAAAACCTGACATATAGACTACTTGTATAGGTCACTTGTAAATGTCACGGGCAGCACTCAAAGTTCATCCCCACGTAGTCTGACAAACACCTATAAACCTATATTTATGTACAGTATCTAGATATGTCTCATATCATTAATTCATCTTAGTTTCAATAGGATAATTGTTGTTATAAGAAGACATCACCAATTAATCTAAATACAGCTTATTCATCCAAATATTTTTATACCTGTATTGTCAACCAGTTAAATTACACATACTGTACAGTACTGTTAATTGTATGAGTTTTTTTTTTAATTCTATATCATGACACAAATAGAATAATGAGTACAATATTCAGTATAAATAATATAATTAAACAAACATAAGGCAAATGATGTTATAAAATAATATTCACATGTAGAAGAGCAACTTTTTTCCATTGATGCTTTAGAGGAAACATGATATTAAGTGGTTAAAATATCATCCCAGAGCACGCAAACGTGTTTGATTCACAATGTCAAGGAGAAATTCTTCTCTGACTGCATACAAAATAAACTAACCTACTGATCTTTGATAACTGGTATTAGCTAAGGTGTTTGGTTAGTTTAGATTTGTTGGTCTATTTCATTTGTTGACAGATAGCTATGGTTTTGCCACGTCATCTGACCTAACCATGCACACACATAATGCCGGTCTAATAAGATGAAAAATGCTAGTCTTTTAAGTTCTCTATCTACTGACTTTGATTATGCATTCTACTCATCACAATCAACATATCAGTAATTTACTTGTCAAATATACTAACAGTCATCTTATTTTAATCATAGAAAATATTACCTGTTTGTGGTAACCCGACAGAACCTAAAATGCAGCCGTGAAACTAATTAATTTTCTTTGCAAGATTAGAAGTTGAAGAAAACAAGTGCTAAAAAATCACTTCATGGTGACAACTGAGGTAAGATGGTCCTGTGAAAGTTGAACAAGAAAAAAGAAATTTGATGGATTATGGTTTTAACTTAAGATCTTTCACTGTCAACTTGAATTAAGGCTGTGCTAATAAAATTTCCAGAAAAATATGGTAAACTTAAAATAACTTGGGATCTTTACAACTCTACTTCAGGAGGAAAAAATATATATTTAAGCAAACTATGATATACCAAGTCACTATGGTACTGCGTCTCACACACAGTGCATCCAGACTAATAAAAGCTGTCACTGAGCTCTGACTTTAACAGGAATGAACTAATGTTAGGCAGTGATCTAAGGCTCATTCTTGTATAAAGCTGCTGTACTGTAGGTCTATGATATTCACTCTCATTTGCTGAAGCATGTGGAGGCTGTAGGGGCAGTGGTCTATTTACCACTTTTTATGTTTTCATGCACTGCACCTAATCTGTATCTTATGCATAAAAACACCCCTTCAGAGAATTTTGTTGGCAAGAGTGACACTGTAGGAACACATTCATTATCATCTTAGTAAACATCATAAATTATAAAGAATACTGTACAGGGATCCTACACAAGCCGCTGGCCTCCTTACCTCAGCACGGCCATTAGGTAAATAAAGTAAAATCAGAGTGGGTAAAATTTAAGGAAGCAATCTTGTCATAGCTGTCCCTATATTTCCTGATTTTTTTTAATAGGTATAATTGTTGATATAATGTATTTATATTTGTCTTAATAACAAACGGAAAGTTATAAAATATGGGAGAAAGGGTAATAAATACGTAAAATGAGAAATAACTAGAAATACAGTCATATATACTAAGTATATAACAGCCAACACGAGACCTGAAGAAAATACTTGAGTAGCCTCCACAAGGTAGACGACCCGATGGCGGACCCAGAACAAGAGGGATAGCACCAAGAACGAGGCCGGAGCCTAGAACACCTAAAGAACCTTACCAAGACCCGTGCTGCAAGGAGAGGATTCAACAAGAGGCTCTGATAATCCTAAATGACAGCACATGAACACACTCTACTGGACCTTTTGGTGTGAAGAATTGAGAAAATTGTTTAGTCTCATACACCCCCTCGGAGACTCTATACGAACACTTTCATTATCATCTGAGGAAATTTACACTAGGTATATTCTGTTCTCTGCTCACCAATTTGAATACCATGAATCAAAACAACATTCGTAAAATATCCTTCAGACGTATTCTCCTCTCCTCCTCTACCCTGGACTGTTACACAAGAATTATAAGAATGACCTCATTTCATAATATAGTTTTTGGTGTATGATAATTATATAACACAATGAGTATGATAATTATATAACACAATGACAACTTTGTACAGATGTTTTTATATACAGTAACTGTCCAAATTCATATTGAAATATTATACGGTACTTTGTTACTTTATCAAGGAAAATATAACTATTTTCTCTTATTTGTAAACCAAACATTTAAGTTATACCTTATTTAGAATACCTCTCTCAACAAGGAACTGTCACAAAATAATACTTCCTGCACAGTACAGTTTGGTGTCAACTCCAGGCTACCACAAAAATCACCATAATATTCCCTTCAAATTTATCTCCAAAATAATAATATGAACCACAGTGAACAACTCTGTACTATAGTTATGTTACACAACTACACATAAAATTCCCTCACATTAAAGTACAAGGTTAGTGCCCCCTGCCATAACACAAGCACACACACACTATTTTCCCCTCTAATTTTAACACATAACATACAAATTATAACAACCATACCCATTAACTAGTTACTACAACGTTATAACAACATGTGAAGAACAATGAACAATATATAAAATTCTCCCACACAACTACTGTCACCTCCCCGGCCACCAGAACACACGATACTTTTTCTACCTTTCTAACCACAACCATTACCATTATATCAAGCAGGTGGTACTGTAGTGTTAAGGCAGTGGTTAAGGTTGAGGCTGACTTACCCAGGGCGGGAGTGTCATAGAGGTTGAGGCAGAATCACAATCAGAAAACCACAACAACAACAGGCAACACAAGATACCTAATGTTGATTGATATACCACGACTCAGACTGGCGACTAACACATCCAGTCTTAGAATTAACTTTATTTGAAAAGGATAATCTAAATTAAATATTAAACAAAATAAAATTATTTATATGAGTTATTTTTCTAAGGTTTGTTTTGGTTAATTGGTTGATGTTGCTTGAAAAATAAACAGCTTTCCTAATCCTTTTAACCGGAGAAGTGTTTAATTTTCAGAATACATTAGCCAACCAAACATTAAGTAACCTTACCAAGAAATACCATATAATCTGGAAATAAATTTGATATAAGTTATACATGAATCGGTTGCTTTAAAAAAAATTATATGTTGAGAGCGGGGTTTTATTCGTGGTATTTCTTTTAACATTAGAAGTGTTGCCTGGGTCGCCGATCCTATCTGTGCCTTTTGTTTAAAGTCACCCATTTAAATTTTCACTTTTTTAAAAATTATAATTCCTTACGCTGTAAAGTTCTAATACTATTCATCTACGTTATTTGACGTTATAATATTAAACCCTCGCATCATGAGGCTCAAATATTATTTCTATATCAAGTTTGTCCCAGCTAACACATACGGAATTGCAACGTTTCTAATTAGTTGTAGATTAGTTAGTTAAATACCACACACTACAAGTGGTAGCACATGTTAAACATCACACACTTCAGGATAAAGGCAAGTTCTGGTGTGTTTGTGTGTCAAGACCATGCTGCTGCAGATTTATTAGTTCGTTGTACAATATAATGCCAGTTGTATAATTCCCTGATCAGTCTGCCAGGCACTAAATAACGATACATTATTCTTAATAAAGTCCAGAACCTTGACGTGTGTGCACCAAATTATCCTCGTGAGCAGAAGAAATATAAATGGTACATTGTATACATTCTGCGTTGTTTATGTCTTGTTTCAGTGAAGTTTTTTCTATTCTCTTAAGGTTTATCCACATGCAATACTTAGAAAAGATGAAGGAAAGAACACATTACAGGACACTATTGAGATAAGTACTGTAGGATTGATTAGTACAGTACATTACATGAAAGCCCAGGTAAGCAGAACCAAAATACGAAAAGTGTACCACATCCAGGTAGGAATTTAATTGATTTTATCACTGATGTACAGTTGCCTGCACTTATACCTACGTGATACAGTGGCTGCATTCTGGGTTGTAGGTTTAAGTTATACTGTTTTTTAAGTTGGGATGCTAATGTATTATTGCTTGGGGCTGTACTGCATATGTTTCTTTCGCAACAATCTAAATGGGGTGGATATACAGTATTTCCCTTTATTTGCAACACAATCCAAATAGAATTTGTATTTCTTCCTTTTTTCTCTGTTTTTCACTTAACTTTTCCACCCAGCTTGATTGCAGTTGTCAAATATCACAAAGTTTAAAGTTTATCTCCCTAATCGTAGTAGGAAGTGTTAGCATGCTGTATCCTTTCTTAAATTTAAATTAATTAAATAGTGTATGTGTGATTCTTATCAGAACATTCAAACATGTAACGTATTTCGGCCTTATCCACCCTGAATTATATATATTTTCAAGACTGAAAGCTGATACTTAGTCTTTTTATTACTGCTTTCTACTTTTTGTGGATATCATAAAGATTAGGTCTACCTGCCCACTTGCTTTTGATGTAATCTTAACTTATATATATATCTACCACCTAAGTTCCTTATTTATGTTATTTCATGTACTGTATAACATGGTATAGCCTTTTCTTTTATGTAAAAAAACATCATTGTTCGTGAATAAATAAATATATAAATGTATAAGCAGACAATCATGTATGTTTATGCAATGGCTGCTAAGAATAAAAACGTACATGGCTTATGACAGGAGTCTACGCTAAAGACAAGCTCCTCCTCTAGACAACAACACGTTTCTATAATGACCTTAAATATTTATTGTAAAATTAAATCAAGAGATGGCGCTGCAGTCACGGGCTTAACGTTAATTGAATGTAGTACAAGTTTCTCTATATATTCCTTCCTTGGTATAACACACCATTGTGACGTCACTAGCAAGCCATTTGACTGAGTGAGCCGTGGGG